CCCCCCCACCCCACCCCCCCCCCCCGACGCGCCCCCCGGCCGCAGCTGCCTATTCGACCCCCGTTTACACCCCGACTATGGCCAACACTCCTGTTTACTTGGCCGCTGCACATGGGTTAGAAATGCCTTCGGCCGCTGCGGTGAACACCGCCTACAGTGTAGCACCAGGTATTTACAGTGCTGCCGGGCCGGCGTATGCCCACATCAGCGCCATGGGAGCAGCGGACCCCGCTACAGCCATCTTCGAGGCAGCGAGACAGGCACACTACTTTGCCCAAGGCCAGCAGGTTGTGGCCGACCAGCAGAGTGCAGCAGTAGCTGCGGCAAAATCTGGTGAGAGGGACCGTAGTCCCCTGCGGAGGTCGGCACCCCTGCTACCAGACCCAGTCTTGAAGCCCTTTATGTACCAGAGAGCCAAGCCACGCAGATCACTGCTCCCCACCCCTGCTGGTCGAGCAGCAGAGGAGGCTGTTGAGGCTGCAGAGGACCCAATGGCCAGGTAGGAAACTATCTGTAGTATTTGTTGTTGCACAATTCAGTTCTCACGTCATAATTATTGATGTTGTAACCTGTGTATGATGCTTTGCCTTCTAGTTATAGAAATAAATATGTGTTTATGTCAAATGTGTGTATATTTATGGCTATAAAACCTTCTAACATACCATGCTTTTTGATGGCAGTAACGCAAGTCAAAACTGTCTGAATTACTCTTTAAATCTACAGATAAAGAGGAAGTGAAGGAGTTAGGAATACATAGTATCATATATAATATTAGTGGTTCTGAAATGATCTTTCACATTACTTGAGACCACATTGTTGGTGTAAAGTTTCTTCCCTGGTGGTCGTGGCTTTGGCAGCGTCCAGCTAATGTGTACGTTTTCCCGCAGAGATTGTTTTTAGTTACATGTGAATAAAGTTTAAACTGGTTGGCCTACACATTTCCTCAAAGTAACATCACTATGTTTGTTCTCCATTATTTGTGTTCCCTAACCCTTCTTTTTGTAGGTACTACGCAGAGTACTACCAGCAGCTGCAGCAGTACCCTCAGTTCCAGTACACCTACCCACCACATGGTGCTATGGCCATACCAGGCCTCCCAGGAGTCTCAGCGATGCAGGCGGTCCCTGGCATGTCTGCGATGACGGCCCAGCCAGTAGCCACGCTGGACGCCCTCAGGCCAGTGGTGCCCACCGCCGCAGCAGTGGCAGCCGCCATGGCCGCGCCCAGGGTGTATGAGCCGCCGTTGCCGCCGCCCACGCGCAAGGAGGCCATCCTCCGCCGCCCCGAACTCTCCCTTCACACGCCTGAGCCCCCCTTCCGATAGTCACAGCAATTCTCCGTCCCATCCCTGCCTCCCTCTCTGCCCTGCATACCTCCACACATTTCCTCCTCCTCCTCCTGCTCCACCCCAAACTTGATCACCTGACAGCAGCTGTACATGTGTATGTGAGTGTGATTGAGGATGGAAAGATGGGAGGGGGCTACTGGGTTTTTTAACCTGCTCTAAGAGGGACTTTTGATCTCCAACCTTGGTCTGGTTTCACTCACATAGTGCATCCATGACATCGACGTTCTCTCATCTGTTTTATGGGCATTATTTTAGTGTTATTTTGTTTGTTTTTTTGTGCCAGTCTCACACTTTGTGCCAGTATTAGATGGACCTCCGCGGTCGTTTTCCATTTGTCTTTCATTTCTACAATCCATTAATGGTTCTCTGAGGCCAAATCTACAATGACAGGTGGTGTCGCACACCTACGTTTGGCCTAGGTGATAAGTTGGGGCAGCTAATTTGAACCTCTTTTGCCTTATGATTTCCATTGTAATCAGATGAGGACGTCGCATAAGCACATACTGTGTATGCATGCAACAGACTCAAGGTTGGCGTGCTTTGGGGCGGGTGGGTTGGTAGTGCTTGTCTTGAATGTGACTTGTAGGATGCAGTACTGTTTGTCTGAATGAATGAGTGAAAGAGAAATGACCTTGCAGCACACAAACGCAGCAGCAGAGACTGCACATCGCAGAAAAAAAAAACAAACAAACACGTGAAGCACACATTATTGTACTGTAATGTCCTTGACTTCCTTTCCACCTTTCTCTCAATCCTCCCCTGAAAGACACTGCTTCACCTCTCTGACAACAGCTGCCTACCTCTCTCCTTCCCCTCTCTCTCTCTCTCTCTGTGAATCCTCTTCTCTTGTTTTCCCTCCCGCTCTTCACTTATTGCCCAGTCAGCAGTTAAATTCCCTGCTCCTCTTAGAAAAGTACAGGGTCAGCAGTTTAGGGAGGAACCTGGACGTCACTGTCAGGGACATATGTAGATAACCCTCCATATTCTGGGGCCTTTAAAGTAGTATTTGTGTTTGTGTAGTTAACATGTAGTACAAGTCCAATTATGTGACTACTGGATGAGCTGTTTACAAAAGGGTCTCTACGTTGCTAAAGGAATGACAGTAGTGTGTAGCAAGAGTAGTAATGTGCCTATGAGCTTTGAGTGAAGTGCATTAAGTGGAGAAATCTCCCAATTTAAGTGCTTTTGATATTACTTTTCAATCACTTCAACAGAGGGTGTCCCTCCAGAGCTGAATGTCCCTGCTGGAGGCTACACAGTGCTAACGTATAACTTTCGTTTACCAGCTACTCTTTTTAAAAAAAAAAAAAACAAGGCACAAATCGAGCCTCACAGAATAAAAACAAAAGCACCAATGAAGTGAGAGATGGGGCAGTGTCTTTCAGTCGCCCACCCACCGAGAAAAATCCTTCCTTCTAAATACCAGACCTGCGTCGGATTGTAATTGCCAGAAAAGTTCCACTCAATACGTTTTCATGCACACTGACATCAGTCCCAGTTTAAAAGCACAGGAGTAAAGTCTGCATCAGTCCACACCTTTCAGCCGGTGTGTTGGGTCTCCAGTTGAAATGTTGGCTGTGCATTTAGTCAACAGTTCAACTGGAGACTCACTAGCTTGAGGCAAGCAAACTATTCTAGGTATATTTTTGGGCTGAACAAAGTGTTTTTTATATTTTGATGCGTCAGACACAAAATATTCTTTAAGATATTGTTGAGGGCAGATCAAAGCTTAACCCCACTGACACCTATGTGTTGCTCTCAACTGGTGCACAACCAACATGTGTTTTTTACTCTCAACCCATTTCCAAGAAAAACAAAAGATAAGCTGGCTCACCCAGCTTTATTATCTTGCTTAATAAAAAAAATGTAAAGAATATGAAAAACCGTTTTATCAGCCGACTGACAACAAGATGATCTGTGAAAGAATTGACTGAGTTTTTAACCCTAAAAATATTTCAGCTTACTCACGAAACGCAAAAGAGATGGAAGAAAGTGTTTTACCAAAGTATTTTCAGTATTTTGTATTTGGTCCAAAATATTTGGCTTGCTTGCCAACAGCAAAAACTAGCTCCTGTTTCATGTGCTTTGAGCGCCCTGTGCATTAGCCAAAATGTTTGAGGCTAATGTAATCACTCAGTGTAGTTTTTTGTTTCTCTCATGCCATGTAAACACACCGACTGAAACTTCTCACGCAGTTGTCCTATCCAATAGATGGCGCTAATGGAAACTACATTTTGAGTGCAAAAGAGTTCGGCCCATCTGCTTTTTTTCCTCACTTTTTTTCATTTATTTGCAACTACCTTTTGACAGTGGTCTGATGCACACACAAAACATCCCCTCAGAATTCACCTCACTGCCTCCCCCTCTCCTCCCACCTCCTTACCCCTGTGTTTCTTTTTTAGTGCTTCAGTGACTTTTGCATTTCACAGTGTAATCTTTTCTGTGTCGTATATACAAACACATGCCAGTTGCATCCTTTGTAGAACTACGTGACTTTTGCGAAATGTCTTGTTTGCCATGTTTGAAATCATATTTTATAGAGAAGTATTTTAATTTTGCCTCTTTCTTTTTAGTAAAAACGACAAAAGATCTTAAAAAAAAAAAGAAACCACACATCAGCATGCTTTTTATGGAGAATATGTATATTATACACACTTATATTAATAAAGAATGTTTGGCTGGCTATTGTGAGAAAAAGACAGCAAAGGGTTTGGACATTTCCCCCTTCTTCTTCTTCTTCTTCTACTACTACTTGTTTATCTTGTTCTTCTCCACTATCTGTTTTCTCCTGTGTAAAATGACCGCCAGACCCAGTTGACTGGGGGACCGAGGGGGAGGCAGGTGTAGATGCTGTGGCCCAGCTTTGCTCTCTGTGGTCAGGGTAAGTGTGGGATGGTGCTCCTTTCTCTCTCCAGCCTCTCAAGATATTTGAGAACAAACCAGCATTAGTTTGGACACAGGCCTTTCATATTCATCCTGCTGCAGACGGGGCATTACAAGCTCTCTGTGAAATCCTGAGGAAAGCTGGGGAGAGGCACACAGATAGAATGGCCGGGGGTGCATTTTGATCTGTGGAGCAGTACTGTTCCTGGGGTTGATGGGTGTGCGTCTAGTCTGGTCTGGTCTGGTCTATCCCTGCTGCACCAAATTTCTCCCTCCACCCTCCGTGTGTCTTTGTGTCCACTTTTCTCTTCGACCTGCATGTGTGATCATCTGTACCTCTGCCACAAATATAAACAAGTAAACAGACAAAAAATATGGCCCAGGATAGTTCTGAACTAACTATCTCAACTGAATTAGGTCTCTGTGCCAACTGGAACGGGCAGCGTGGCGGTGTCAGCCATCGGGGACCACTTTTAGTGCGACGCCATTGCAGCGGGATCTTGTTGTCAGTCTCTCCTGATCCTCGTCTCCACTAAGGTAAATGTAAAAAAATCAACCAAACCAACAAAAACGTCAAACCCCAAGAACACTGACCTCTCCTTTCCCCACCTGCCGCCCCCCCCCACCTTTCTTCTGACTGTGCCTTGACCAAACTCTCCTTCCTACTCCTCCTCTCCTCCACCATCACCGCGCTCCACAACTCCTCCTCTTTTCGCTGTAATGGTAGTGCCACGCCTACACGCCATTAGTGGAGGGTGGGGTTGGGCTAGATTTGAACCCCGGGGCCACTCTTTCTTCCCAGACAAGCTGTGACCCCTGTGTTGCATCAGCCAACCAGGGACTCACTGTGGCCCTTCTGCTCCAGTGGAGAATGAAAGGGTGTTTGTTGCTGTGTCTCAATTTGCGATCTGCAGAAGTTTTACCAGAAGTTGTAAAACGTGTCCTAGTCCTGTGCCAATGTCCAGGTCCAACAAGTTATAGTTATCAACTACAGTTGAATCGACTTATCTAGGTTAGGAGGTTAGAGGTCCAATCCCAGGCTCCTTCAGTCTTTATGCCTGTGTGTACCTGGGCCAACAGCGAGCATTAAAATAGCCTAGTTGTTCCTGGTGGCTGTGTTGGGGGTGTACAGGTGAATCTGACCAGCACACGCTAGAGAAAACACTGCATGTACTGTATATGTTGACACAGATGAAGATTTAAAAGACATTCCACAATAAGCTAGCAAAGGCAGCTGGGATATGTTGGACTGCGTAGGATCTAACCATTTTAGCTAGTGACACAGATGTTAGCTGCTCTCATTATGACTGACATGGCGCCAATCCTGTGTTACCAACCACTTTGTGTAGAGTTTCTGGCCTATAATTGTAGCCCATGTTGGCTGCAGACCATGAACTGGGACACAGCTCGTGTATGTTTTGAGCGTGGATGTCAGCAGAAGGTTATTGGGTGGCGTTTCAATAAATGGTGAGGCTTGGCACAAACGGACACGCGCCCTCCTGACCATCACACTACCCGCTAGTCACCGCCGTTATCGCCGCCCTCACCCACCTCCCCACCCTTCCCCTTTTTGCCCAGGTCTCCTTTGTTTTATTCCTCTCTTCATCCGCCCTCCTCCTGTCTTTAACCCCCATTTTACTGTGCTGAAGCACCTCCCAGCCGCACAGACACAAAAACACAGACACACACACACATGCTCGGCGCTTTTTTTCCACCGCCGCCACCGCCGTTGCCACCTCGGATCTGGGTTTGTGGCTCTGGCCCTGGCTTTACTACCTAGAACCACCCACCTGACCCAACCCTTCCCACCCGTCTGCTGTTGTTGAATGTGTGACCTCAGTAACCTAATGGGACAATGGTGTCAGACAAGTCGTTTTGTTAAAACCATTGAATTTTAGTTTTTGCTTCTCGAGGCTGTGGGAAGGGTCCGAGCTTTCAACATTATGGATTTTCCTAACCTTCTGCTCCCTCTCTGTCTGCGTGCCTGTCAGAAACGTCCTATAAGATAGGCCTTGGTACCAGGCTCTTCAAACCTGTAGATTCTCATCAATCTCAGGATTCCTATAGGACCTCTCTGGGGGTGGGGGTGTGGGGAGGGGGGGTAGCATTAGTTCTGAACTTCTTCTGATCAGCCAGGACTGACTGAATAGGAATGCTCCTAGTGAGTTCCCTCTGTCCTGAAACAAAAGCTCTGTTCCCTAAAACAGAAGCTTTTGGATAGACTCCAGATACAAATGTTTTCTGTTTTTGTTTTTTTGTCTTTGGTAGTAGACACCAGGCCATTAAACACCAGGTGAGTTGATAGCAGAGGCCATTACTGTTGTCAAAGTTAGTAACTGGTCTTAACAACCGTACTCCATTCACTCAGTAAATTCCCAAATCTTTGACTCTCATCGTGTGATCCTGAGGTTTGCAGGTGTCTTTGAGGGATAACCCGTGCACACACCTCTAAGAAGGTTGACCAACTCAAATGTGGTGTGAAGAAAACACAAACAATCTCCACTTTTTGACTTTCACAAATGCTAATTGGCCATGACTGGTACAGTCTCATAGGTGAGCAGAACCATGCAGGACTATTAAGAACTTTGAATCAAGGTTGCAGGTTGAAAACTGGAGAGCAGTAGAGACCATGCCTTGAGTTCTGGAATGAGTTTTGTTCCTTTAAACTGTTCCGTCCTCTGCCTTCAGCCTTCCCCCCAACTGTCCCCTCTAAGGTACTGGTTGAGTCTGGGCTTCTTAGGTGAATGCAGCCATGCATCCCTGACCTCACCCACCTCCTCTGTCTTGACAGCTAAAGCTCACTGCAGCCTTCTCACCTCTCCTCCTCTTTTTAGCCTGCCTCTCTCTGATATAGACAGTGGAATTCCCCAGATGCTCTGTGTATGTGCATATACACTCTCCTGTACTGTTTTTTTTTTTTTTTTATGTCACGGAAACTGCCAAGACAGACAAGTGTGTGTCTCTGGGGGGTTTATCCTCTCTGCAGTTAGATATTTAGCACAACTCGTATAAAGACCACACTGCCTTTTGATTTGAGTTGGTTTCATAAAATGGGATCGTGAGTGTTCTAGTTATTCTAGTACAGATACTGATGTGAACTGTGCTGCTGCTGCTGCTGCTGCTGCTGCTTGTTCTCATCACTCAGATGCAGTAGAGTGAATTCCTCAGAGAGAGGACACACAATAAACCCTGTAAATCCAATACACTTCTAATATACTGTCCCTGAATTTGTTTATTAATCACTTCCTCATTAAGGTCCGGTGTGTCACATCTAGAATGGTTTATCTGTACTTTGAAGAAAGGGTCCCATGTGGGACGCTGCCATCTTGTGCTGAAATGTTTTTACAGCAGCAATAAGGGATGCACTGTAGTGTTTTCAGAGTGATACTTGAACACTATCACCTTCAAACTCTGACTATAAGATATAACATCATAGGATATGGATCCAATTGCAGGATTCAAACCACGATGTGTCTCTAGTGAGTTTGTTCTATATACGGGGACTAAACAAGGGGTTGTGACGTTAAAGATCATCTGAAAATCTTTGACTAAAAGAAACCACTTATATTTATATTACTGGACCTATGTTAGGTAGGATGCAGAGGTGGTGTATAATTACAACCACCTCACTGAAAAATGACCTCATTTTAGCACAAACCAGCTATTGTTAATTATGCAACAATAAATCAGCTAGCTTGTTAGCAGCAGCACAGTGATGAGCAGTATCTGAAGGTAACACCAGCTGTAGTTACACTTCAGAGGCTGATTAATTACAAATTACATCAGTCGAGTTTCCAAAGATGAATCAAGGGTGATTGAGTGAAAGCGTCGCCTCCAGAGAGTAGCGACCCGAACCTGCGCATTTCAAGAAAATTAGCTGCCAGCACAAGCTCGACTGAGACGAGCGGATTTGATTCTACTCCATGAATCCTCTCAATTACTGTGAATGACAAATCCTTCACTCAGATACTAATGATATTGTATGCCTCTGTATGATTTATATATATATATATATACATATATATATATTCCTTTTAATCTGTATTTCTATGTTGAATTATTTTTATGAATTGGCATGAGACTCATAAATAAACCTTCTTTTTTCTAATCTTAAAAGAAATGCCTGGATCTTTTATTGTCATTCTTGGAGACACAGGGTGATCATTATCACATTAAAATTATTTAACTAATTGTTTTATGACATTTGGTTATCATTTAGCCTTTTAGGCTAACCACACCAATTTTTTCAACATCTCCAGCCAAATTTTAGATCACTGTAAATGATATCATTGCTAAGTTAGCCTTACTGTAGCTCTGAGCTCAGTTTTAGCCAAGACCTGATTCTAATGAGTCGCTGAAGTAAAACATACGCTTCAGTGAGTGTATTTATATTTGTTAACAGTTTCATGTTTACACAGAATTGAATTGAAAAATATGGACACAGATCTCACATTTTGTGCCTTTTTATTGTATCTTTTTGCAGCATAAATCTACATATATATATATATATATATATTAGTGCTAAATTCGGATTGTGATATTTTCATCTAAATCTAAACTTTTGTACATCATTATGTCAGTAATTATGTCATAATTGCTCATTGGTTAAAAATGTAAATATATTAAAATGACCTGTAAGATTAAGAACACAGATTTCTATGTTGTTTTTCTAAGTAAAACGTTTGTAAGAAATGCCAATTCAATATGCTGATCTTTGACCTTGTTAAGTCAAGTTAATTCAACATTCACTAAACACGTTTGTCTCAATGGACTTCACAGTTTGAAATAAGGACTTATGGAGAGAAATAAAAGAACATAACAATTAAGAGTGCAATCTGGGCTTTTTCATTGATTATACACGAAGGTTCATTAGTTTAAGAAGCACCTGTTTGTGGTTAGAGGTGGACTGAACTGCAGGGGTCTGGCCTTGCCATTGAGGATCATTAGCAGCAACAGGTGCATGGCACAGGCCATAAAAACCTCGCTGCTGCCAGGGAGGCGTGATTGACAAGAACCCCGGCCACTGGGGGCCCACGGAGCCGCTGCTCGTGGGTCACCACCCCGCCCTTTGCACCTTTTTAGGGTCAGAACCCGATACCTAAGCTGTCGGTTCCCATACTTATTCGGGTGCGGTCACGTGTGCCACTTTTGACCAGGAAAGGAGCACCGGTCAGCTGGGTCTTCTGGTAGTGGGAGCACCACCTCCGCACAGGCACGTCGCATCGAGTGGAGTCTGGTCTCTGCAGCGCCCCAACTGTCTCTGTCCCCCCCCTCAAAGCGAGACCCGAGGAGGTTCTAGCCCAACGGCTTCGTCGTCGTAACTGCTGCTGAGTATTTTTGTTATTTATTTTTCTTCATTCTAAACTGAGGGGGACCGTGAAGTCCTGACAGAGGCGGCACCATGACAGCTGTCGAAACCCAAATGACCACCTATACCACCTATACGATCCACCAAGAAAACGCGTACATGACCCAGGAGGATGACTGGGACAGGGACCTGCTGCTGGACCCCGCCTGGGAGAAGCAGCAGAGGAAGGTAAGGTGTGGAGCTACGAGCTTTTGGAACAGCGACTTGTGCCAAACGTGCGTAATTACGCACGGGTTTACCCACGCCCTCACCGTTCAGCTGCTCATTTCTAACGCATATTAACACAAGAAGTGTGATTGCCACTGATTTGTTTTTACCCCTGTGCCATATAACATTGTCCAAGTGTTAAAAAAAGTGCCTGACGGGGCTTTGGGCATGTGTGCTTTAGCTGTCCTCGCACCTGGCACTTCAGTCCTGCTGGAGGCTGTACGGGGCAGATATTTTAGGCCTTTCTCAGTGTTGTCTTTCACTTCCCCCTGGTTGCCCTGTGAAGACTGTCTAAATATACAACCCTCCCCAGTCTTCAGCTGTACTTTAAATCAAAACTTCAAAATAAAACTCACCCAGAATAATAACAATAATAATAACCATGAACAACGACTAAATCTACATGTCATGCCCCTCTCTTCCCAAGAAAGACAACATGTTAAGGAAATAAAAGTAAACCAATCAAAATACATTTGTCTCATATAATTATCCATTAATTCGTTTGGATATGGGCATATATTTGTCAGTAACAGCAGTTTTAAAAACAAACAAACAAAAGAAAAAGAGCAAGAAACTTAAAACTGCATCTATTTTTCATTCAAGTGTCTATTTTAGATCCCATGACTGGGTTACAGAGCAGGGCTAAGTCTGGACCTGCAGAGGGGGCCAAACAGCCCAGCTAGATTCAAACATAAACAATCAGAGGTATATATTTAATCATAACGTGTTGCTCCTATTTATATGTATTAGGATATTCAAATGTGGGCGCAATACCCTCAAAAACTGTTCATATTTGTTGTCCAGTAAATATATAAACAGATGAACTCACAGTAAAATAATCAATTCTTTTTAGTACATTTAACCAATAATAGTGCTAATTAAAAAGTCCAGCAATTCCTTAATTCAATGATATGTTCAACAAACAACAAATTATTTAGAATGCCACATGAAAGTAACAAAAACACAGAGCTATGATGAAACAGTGAAAATACTGACTTTAGAACTTGTTTTTGTCAGTTATTCTGAGAGTAAACGGTCTGTCAAAAGTCACTAAAAGTATAACTAGCCCCATTTATATTGATTTAAATGTGTGGAAAATGAACAGAAACAAATTATCACTGTCGCTTATAATGTCTCTAATAAAGTAATAATTAAAACGGATGCATACTAATTTACATTTACGTATTTAGAATAGTTAAATGACTAATCATTTAATAAACTAATGTGCTTTCTATGGTGGAGAAACGCAGGGGTCTTTTTACACATTAATGTGTCCATGTCTGTGCCTAACCTAAATTAACATTAGCTCAAATGAAACAAACTAATTTCAACATAAACATGTTTAAAAAAACCAAAACAAAACATATTTATGCTAAGATATAAGTATGTACATTTAAATGAGCCAAGTTAGAGCCAGTTGGAAGTCAACAGTTGCTAAGGCAATGGTCTGGTCTTGCCCTTTGCCATGATCAAAAGTGACACGACAACAAATTAGCATTTGCCGTTAGCATAGGCTAATCTGGTTAGTTGTGACAGTAGTGATTGCAAATCAAAGGTTAAACCATGTTTTACAGAAGAAAATGGTGACAATAGAAGAATTATTTATTTTTTAAAAAACATGTATTCAAGTAGATAAGATACAAGCTCAACAAAGCCATGTTTCTTCATCACAATGCTATGACATAGCTGCCTTGATGGTTTAGCACCATCTTCATCATCTTCTCCATGGAGCCAGGTAAACATTTAAAAATATATTCTTTTAACAAATACTCATTCTTGGACAATGTTGTGCTATATTTTCATCAATAAATAGTAATCAGTTGTCAGCAACTTATAAACTAGTAAAACATTTTACTGCAGTCATACTGAAAGAGAATCTATTCAATCTGATATAATAAAATAAAGTATCGGAAAAGTCTGATTTTGGGCGAAAGTCTAAAAGAATACATACACATATGTGTGTGTTTTGAAGTGATGCATCAAAATAAAGAACAAAGTGATCATTTTTACTTTGGTTGCTATGGCAAACTGGAGAATAAAAAACAGGTAGAACCTTTTGTATTTTTGGTACTTTTTCTTGCTTTTACAGTAAACATTAGTGGCAGAGTAATGATTTTTCAAAGCACATACACGTGTACAATTGCAAGATTAAAATGTAATGTTTTAATCTACGCTGTAGCTGATTCTTATTATTTAAAGCAATTTGCTGATTTAAAAATTTGCTTAATACGTCTAACAGAAAGTAAAACCTATTCTGAGATATGTAACTCTCTCCAACTCAAAACAAAAGAATCCATCTCAGTTTATTTGCTTCTTAGTTTTATCTTTTACGACAAACCTGACATGTTCTTATTATGGTGTATTACATCATAAGGAAACAAACAAACAAACAAAAAAGAAAATTAGGGATGTGGAAGGCGTTTTCCTGTTTATCTGCAGAATTGTTCTGTCACTTCTGCAGATTCAATTCAGCTTCACCCCCTGAAGCTGAGGTTCTGTGACAGGCTGAGAGACCTCAACAGATGGCAACAGAAAGAGAGGGAGTGATGGCATGGCTGGTACATATACACCCCGGGTTGGTTTCACAGACCCACAAATAAACATCTTCCTAAAAATACTCTTCAACTTGCACCGCTCCAATCCCCCGCCCCCTTCTTTTTCTTTTTCTCTTATTTTTTCTTGTCTCTTCTCAAGTCACATTCTCATCTCTCTCTTTTTTCCCTATTTCACGAGAAGTGCTCTTTTCAAATTGTGACTTTTTAAAATTTTATTTCAAACACCTGTCATTACTTTAAAGTGTAAGATGATATCATGAGATTTGAATTTTTTTAGTCTTCACCTACCATCCTCTCAGGGGAGTAGGTCATCGTACTCCGATGCTCTTCTCGGCATGTCAAATCAAGCTTAAGGGGCTGATATCAGACCATAAATATAACCCCTGCATCATTTTGCAATGTAATGAGTCTGAAAGGAAATCCGTGCACCACCTGTTGTCTCAGTTGTCCTTGAAATTTCAGCGGAAAAAGCTGCTCAACACTTGACGTAGTAGTAAAAGTGTTTGTCAACACACGGCGTGCTGCCAACTCTGAGCTAAGAATTTAGAGTTAGCATGCGCTTAAAGTAAAGTGATCTTATTTATGATTTTAAATAATCCATCGTGATATTGGTTAATACGGATATCATTTGGAGCAGACCTTCCAGCTTCATGATTCATGGCTTGGTTTGGCGCAGCACTTTAGATGAATAGGAGCTGGCAATAATCGCATCAGATGCTGCAGCCAGGGAAGGGTATCAGGTGGAGGGAGACACGAAAGGATGCGGTGGAGATATTTGGCGACATTATTTTATCAAAGTAAGTGTAATTTTAGAAATAAGACGGGTTGGCGCTGGCTGCTGGTGGTTTGTCAAGCTGTTTTAGACCAGTCGAGGACAGAAGTAGATGTTTTCGTCAGCTCGCCAAAGCGTATTAATGTCCGCTGATCCGACAGCCTTACAGAGGCCTTACATGAGCACGTCCACCGAAGTCCTGAACTCAATCGATGGCTGTTATAAGATTATTGGACTCATTGATCCAAAAGGTTTAACTACAGAGCTGAAGTCAAATGCAAATATTCAGTTGGATTCAGCAGATCTGTATTCAGATGCCGATTTTGCCTGATCTCATTGGCCACCTACTGGTCGGCTTAGTCCATCTACTCGGATAGAAAGTGGGCATAGGTTTTAATCTCAGATATTTTGCGGTTGCCAGTGCAGTATCCAAAGTCAACTCCTGTTTCACATAGTTGGAGAATGCAGCTGGCAAACAGCTAAGTTGACTGATGACTCATTGTGTAGCACAGGGCTTGCACTAGCAACAGTAGCCTAAGAATACCTATTATATAGAGGAATCAACAGTTTTAAACATGTATAGTCATGAAGTTTGTTCCTGATTTATACTAAGAAATCATTAAGGTAATACAAAGGAAAAAAATGTTGTTAAGGCAGATACCTTTAAAAAAAAAGTAAATGCTTAAAGATATTCTTCTACTTTTCACTTTATTCCAACCTTATCTCCATCCACAGCGTGCAAAATCATAAACTGTTACAGTTATTTTCAGTAATGTGACATTTATCCACTCCACCTCATGTAATGTCCCTCTGTGTAGGCGAGGCAAAGGTCTTATAAACGCTGCGTGATTGAATCTATTCCGTCTAATCTCATTTTGCACTTTAAACAAGTGCGCCTGCAGCACAGCAGCCAGACAGGTCCATTGATTTAACCTCCAACCTGATGTTTTTGTGAGATGATGCTAAATAAAAGGACCCGGTTCTATTTAGGTCGCACTGAGGAAGCAATTTGCTGTGAGTGTGGAATTGCCGACATTGCTCAGTCCTTCATTATCATTTTGGAATGTCATCTTCCTATATTCATCAGTGAATTGTTTCCCCCCACTTGGCACAGTTGCCCTTTTTCGCCCTTACATAATTTCCGAGGCCTATTTTTGAAATGCAAGTGACAATCACTTCAGAAATGACATTATTGGAGCTAATGAATATGACATTTCTCCCTTCACCATCAAGGTGTGGTGTTAAAGCTTCATTAAAATGGATGACATCATCGACCACTGAAGCAGGACTAGCTGTATAACATTAAGTCTTTAAATTGGAACATTATAGATACATTGACTTGTTTAATTGTGAAATGGACTTAACCTGCAGATGCAGTAGCACAGAATCCCTCACTGACACTGAGATCAGAGGGCAACTCTAGTGTCCTTCTGCAATTCTTCAATTTACTCCATCAGGGTCATGTGATTCCAGAGCTGGAACCATTAAGAATTTGAACTTTGATCTCAGCTTCAAGTATGACAAAATATCAGGTGTTTTGTAAGTCCAGTTAGTCTAAGAAGTGGAGAGTTGTTGTTGTTTCATATCTATACCAGAAGCTTTATGCCTGTGGTGTTGTGTATGTTTGTGTGACA